GGATCATATCCAATGGCAAACATTGATATTAGCAGTGATGAAACTCAGAGTTCTGCTGCCACATTTAGTTACTATAGGATTCTGACGATGGTGTATAACACACAGAGATACTGGGTTTTCAGACTTTATCCATCATCCTGGTTTTTAAAATAACTAAGAAAAAACATGATGTTTCGGAAACTGGATCTGTTTCTGTCCTCAGGTGAGGGAAAACACCTGGACAGTGATTGAGGCTAGCTCTTTCTAAGGGACCCAACAGAATAGGTGTTTTACCTCACCTGAGGATGGAAACAGATCCAGGTTGTGAAATGTCGTGTTTTTTCTTAGTTATCTTAAAAACCAGGATGATGGATAAAGTCCGAAAACCCAATATCTCTGTCTGCTGCCACATTGTTAGATCTGAACTTGATAGAACTGGCTCTTGTCTTATATGATAATAGATGGTCTTTGGGTTCCAGACAGCCAGTTAAATAACAGTGCTAAATGAAGACCCTGCAACATGGCATCAGTTAGATTAATAATTGGAGAAACACTTAATCTGATACATAATTGGAGATATCCAGACAGATACCATCTACTGTGGGAGTTTTTGTGTTCATTCAAATGCTGAGAGTATACCTTCAAGAAGGAAATAACTCTTTCTCCTTCCATTTCTGTTTTGACTTCAGGCATCTTAATTAAAGACACCATGAACAGTAAGCAGGGTGACTTGTATTCATAAGATATCTGATTTGACTTTCATCCATAAAACCAGCTACTTGCTGAGATTCTTTGTCAGTAAATAGTACCTTCAGAGGCCATAACCATTTCCTTCCTAGCCTATCAGACTTGCCCCATGCTGTGTTTTTTTACGCATTCTATATCCAATGGTGTGGCAACCCGTTTCTTGCCCTGTAATTGGATCTACTTGAATATAAGAATAAATTATTATTATTATTATTATTATTATTATTACAAGAAAATGGTGCCAAAAGGGGGGATACATTTTAAGCATTTGACAAAAATATACCAATGAACATAAGTGGAAGTAGAAAGTTTATTACTATTTTATCTTCCAACATTTCTCCTGTTTAGAAACAGTTTTTTTTGCAGTTATGGTGTATCGTCATAGGCCGTGATAAGGGCTTTGACCATACATACGTGTCATCTCATCTTAACAGACACCATGCAATTTCTGCAATTGAAATGTTATCAAACAGCTTATAAACCACGCTGATTGAAGACCACATGTCATAGCAGTTTTGATACTCTTTGATTGGTTCCCTGTGTCCTTCCCTCTGCCACATAGAGGCCTTAAAACCTAAAATACTGTACCAATTCCTGTATTCTCACCCCAAATTGACAATTTTAGTTGTAAACTGCTGAAGTGGAATCATAATTATACTAATACTTCAAAGTCTAGTCTGCCATTTAAACATTTCTTACTTGTTTCATGATATCCTCTGACAACTCTGGTTTGTCTCATCTGTCCTATTATTAGAGGAATGGATGTTATTTTCAGTGCTGTAGTTTAACTGTGTATCTTCATGCCATACAGTGATAACTTCTCATTTCTCCACCAGAGTTTGTATTGTTGTATAGGATTCAAACAAGATGGTGGGTGGCTGTTAGTTGTGCAGTAGCTGGTAAAGTAATGTTGTTACCATCCTTCAGTCTTTGCTACTCATATCACCTGCTTTCTCTTGTTCTTTTCACAGTTTAAGTTGCGTGTATATGTAAAGTTAAAGTGTCTTAGATATCTGTCTTGTTTTAGCATAACATTTTGTTGTCTTTAAAAATGGAAGACTGAGAATTCAAATATCAAATTTTGTATAAACATGCTAGAGTCTTTAAGGTGTTTGACTCTTTTAAGAAAGGACGAGAATTATGAGCCTATGGCATGATGTTGACATCATACGAGTGTGCTCCTGAACATGTGATGTCAGGCTTAGTGTAGTCCAGTATAAGTAAAAGATCTCACAGCATTGCAGCCTTGTGGCTCATTAGTGCAGCAAACCACAATTCACGCACCATCATGCTTGAATCATAGTATAGATGAAGCATACAAGATGTACTAAGCAGAAATGAATAAAACATCTCAAGTGATATAATCAGATCTGTATCATATGAGCAAATATTTTGATATACTACTAAGGAAATGTGCTTGATATATAGATTTCACTGATATAAGGGGACAGAAGATGAATTTGCTAATGCAGTTATAACCAGATGTATTATGGATATATTATTATGAAAAATTATGTAATAAAGAAAGTTCCATAAGAAAACTTCTCAAGCAGAATGCAATTTACATTTCTTTTTGTCAACCTTATGAACTTGAATATTTCATATAAGTGACTGTCTATGGTCATGAGAGCCTGGCTGACATTTGACTGATTTTCACTTTTGGCAGCTGGAAGTAAACACTTCTTTTAACTACTGCTTTCTTCTCTTTTGTCATTCATTTTCCAAGGTCCTTTTAATTTTTGGTAAGTCTTTTAATAATTCTGCAACACTAAATTATCAAACATTCAATATGTAAAGAATCACTCCATTTCTGAGTGGTTTAAATTTATTTCAGAAATACGGGCTCCAGCCATGTTGATGTGATGACACCAAGTTATTAATTTAGTACATAAGAAGCTTCTTTAAACTAAATTTCACTTCTCCACAGTTACTAGCTCAGAAGCAATGCTGAGGTACCAGACTTCATACCTTTGCATACATCCCCTTAAGATAAATAATTATTACAGTGTTATTTATCTAAGTGCCCAGTGTCAATTCCAGGGGGACTAAGAATCAAAATTTGTTTGAAATTAGGCTATTCCTTATTGCAGTGATTCAATACAGATTTTGATTTTTATTTTACTGTCTAATAACTATGAAACGAAAAATGACGTCAGTAAAAGCATACTGCTTGTTGGTAGCTAAATTTGCATGGGTCCAATGTAGCCACTATTTTTCTGTATATACATTTCTGTGGGCACTTCCAGATATCACTGTTTACTTGTTAAAGCAGCAGCTTTGTATACAAACATTTTGTTTATGATGACATTTTGACAATCAGTTCTTTATATATACCGGAAAGTAAACTCCATTTATTTTAAACAACTAATGTAGGAGCAGGGGAGAGCTTGCTCATGCTGTAGCATCACATGACTCATTTCCTTGTAAACGATCACATAACTTGTCACATAGTGTTTCTTCTTATCTCTACAGTGAGTTATGATGTGCCCTGTGACTGGTAATCCCTCCAGCTGTGAAAGTATTTGTTTTTATATGTTATAATGAATCTGTATTGATGATATGGCTGGCCAGTGTGTATGGAATGGCAAGGTGTGAATTTGACAGTGGTTTTTCCACGGCCTAGGTGTGTGGTCTTGACAACTTGTGCTGTCTGCGTGAGGCCTGAATATATTTTATTGGACAAAGGGCATATGATGTGTAGTCATCATGAATTTGTAATGTGTGACGTTTTATATCCAGCTCTATGGGGAGATGATTGGCTCCATGAAGTGAAAATAAATGTAAATGTAAATGCAAATCCACTTTCTTCAAGCTAAAAATATGAGTGTTGCAGAAACAATTATGAATTCTGCTAGGCAGGTTACGGCAAGAACGTAAGGAGTGAAAGAACTTAAGATCGCTTAAGACAATGTTGTAGAATATTCAAGATGAAGAGCAAAGTGGTCTGTCATCCGTAGTGACGATCTTGTTCAAAGTATTGGGCAAAAAATGTGTGAAAAACGGTGCTTCACAATTTCAGAACTTTCTTCATTCGTATGTTCTTTTTGTCTATGTCACTAGTATGTGCCATATCCATCAATCATAACTTTTCTTTTCATTAACTGGCGTTTACTGAAGTGTTACTATTCTACATGTTCCGGGCTTTTGACGATCATCATGCTTTATATAAGTTTGACTAGCTCTATATCCTATGGGTGCTAAAGCCCTGTACAGGATTTGTGGAGTTATTTAATAACAATAAACAATAAAATGTGTCATTGTTCGTTAAATCTGTTGCTACTGTCTTGCCATGTAAATTCAAAACAGTGAATATAAATACATATACATACAAATATAAGTTAAAATGTTTTGATGTATTAAAATATTTATCAATAATAATAAAATTTCTTGAAGTAATTATTGCTCTTTAAATCTTGCTAAATTTGTTTTAGCCTACATGTATTTGCATTGGTCACGGATCCCGAATGATTCTTTAGGATCACGTGTATTAATCTGCTATGTACAATAAACAATTTCTTCGTGTTCCTAGTACCAATTTTTGACGTCCGAGTTTGCAGAGCTGCCAAGACTACGAATAAAATGTATCTCCTGTATAGAATCAGTGAATGAATGGAGCAGCGCTAATTGAGGAAACGGCAACGCAACTTGCGGGGAGACTGAGACACTCAACTTCCAGGCAACGGAGCATGCCAGTCTTCTCACAATTGTGTTGCCGCGTGGTTTCCAAGTATCAGCGGATCTCTAACGGGCTTCAGTTATTCATTTGTGATTTGTTTGTTAAGAGGCACGAAAAGTTGACGAAGTTGCTAATTTTGTTTTTGTGCAGTTAATTGAGCAAGAGCCTGGCATATATGACAAACGCCACCCAGATTATGGTAGATGGAACAAAATAGATTTGGCTTAGGAAAAAATTTTCTCATGAGATAAGTCTAGTAGGTCTAGTATGTGTGTATATATATATATGTTATATGTATATATATATGTATATGTTATATCCAAAGCTTAGAATAGGATCAAAATACAGAATATATCTGCTAACATAATGCAAACACCTCAGACAATTGACGGGCAAACACACCCACTTGAGATGATGTAAACAAGTAATCGAACGTAAGTAAGTCTTAGTTTGTGCTTTGTGCCTGCTAATCTGGAAATCAGTTGCCTGCTTTAATTCAGCGACATTTCTCGGCAATCGCGGTTGCGTTGCGGTTGTAGTTTTCTTGGTGTGCCCACGGCCTTGCTTGTACAATGCAAAAGTTTACCAAGTGAATGATAGTGGTCACATTTCGAATACTTCCCCGTTGCGAATTCGCTTTAGTTGAAATACCTTTTTAACTGAATATTGGTAACCATGCGGTAAACCTTTTTGGTGTTGCAGAAAAGAAAGGTCGAAATTATGCAGTCTAAGGTTTTAGGTCGAGTTTGTTCTACGTTGAAAGTGAGTGAAATTGAGTGCTTATTATAATTGTAATGTTGATTGTTTTAATAATGCCCTAGGACTTACAAAGGTGTACTAACTCATGGAGAATGTATTACTATAGTTCATGCATTGGATTAGTACTTAATGCACTCCTTCGAACTTCCATGTGATTTTGAATTATTTGCAGCAAATTAAAACGATTTCAGATGGAAGCGTGAAAAATTCTATTTTGAGTAGGTTTGAGGTTATTTTTCTAAGTGTGTAGATTTTGTTTCTTGTGCCGGTGTATAATAGTAGTTTTAGTTTCGTTTTGCTCGATGTGTTTTCTATGTGGTGTAACCACCACTATACAGAACAAACAAATTGAAGTGGTTCCTTTTCTAGTAACTGAGGACGATTTTAGTTTATTAACAAATTGCGAGGCTAAATATGCTAGAATAGTTTTGATGAGGCCTTAGAAAGTGTTGTGATTTTGCTGATGTGGGGGGAATTTTGAATACCATAGCCCCCATGTAGCACCAGTTCCAAAGATTACCTAAATATTATTAAAAAACTGATACTTTCCATGTGTCAGTTGTTGCAAATTTTTGTATTTTGTAGTGTAAAATATCTTGGTATTATACAAGTTTATTCGGTTTATACGTCTTGGGTCTTTAATACTAATGTAGATCAGGCTGTGGGTATTGTGCATATCTCATAACCTGAACCAATTTTTTTATAGCCAACATGCATGCAACATTGCCAAAGGGTGACACCATCTCTCTCAGCCCTGCAGAGCAGATTATATTCAAGTGGCCAAGAAGCAGATGTTGTAGTCATTGGATCAGGTCCTGGTGGGTATGTTGCTGCTATTAAAGCAGCACAACTTGGAATGAATGTAAGTAGACCTGTAGTTACAGTTATTTGATGAGTGGCATTATCTCATACTTCTGTCTGCTTCTCCATCCAAGGTGGAGACTATATTTCATAGGTTTCAATAGGCACAGAACAGTAATGTGTGACAGGTTTGGTTTTGTGATATGATCAGTAGTCAAGCGAACAAATCCCACACTGTACACTTCATTATATTCAGTATATTGTAATTTTAATGCTGAATGCTCATTGAAGACATATCAGGTAAAACTGCTTGAATGTTCTTGAGAATCACTTGAAGTAAACTGTATTTAAAAAGAAAAGGATGTATGACAGTTGAATGTAATCTTTTTATGGATGTGCCAGGAATGCATGTATAGCAACACATTTTCAGAATATGCTGTAATCTGGTTATGTTTTATTTGTAATGTGTTGGGCCAGGTTTGTCACTTATGCTAGCTGTCTGGATCTCTGCTTCCCAACTAGTTGAGAGGAACATTCATCTCTTTCTGCCTTAGCAGGTCTAAGATGATGGCACTCTATATAACTAAACTATGTTCACTCTAAGCGTTATCCTTGTGTAAATATAGAGATGAATATCCTTCCTCCTGAAGTTGCCATGATTGGCATGTTTTTCGCAGCTTTTGCACATTATGAAACTGTGCCCACTGTCATCTGTATTTTGAGTCAGTACCAGTACATTTTATAACAGTCACTTATCATTGGACACCTTTTCTTACTATAAGGGCATGAAATCCACATTTTATATGATATAATAATGTGTAATTATTATTAATAACGAGGATTTGAAGGAACAGTTAGTCACTGTTAGGAAGTGGATTTATTCCCTCTTAAGTCGGAGTTTGGATCAAATAGGTCACTGGAAGTTTCATCATCTCTGGCATTTACAGCAGGTTAATTCCACTGTGTTAAAAGTAAGACCAACCAATTCCCACATGCTTAGCTTCTCCTGAATGACATGATGAATAGCATCTTGCCATCTCTCAGTGTTGACCTCTTCTAGCTTTGCATCTACCAGCAGGTGAATCTTCCACAGTTTGAAGGTTTTGTTGTGGCATCGACATATCCCTTCAGTTGACTCCACACCAGCTTGATAGGGTTCAAGTTGCAGTGACAAGATGGCAGTTATCCTTCTCATGTTGGTCCACAGTATGAACTCAGTCCTACGATCATAGGTTGTGCTATGTCTTGATGTGTCAGTGAATTTTATTGCTGTGATAAGGGGCATTGGCCATCACACTGCCTGGATATAATTTTGACAGAATTTTCCCCACATCACTCTTGAAGCATGTCACCAGAGAAGTCTGTTGTAACAGTGGTCATGTGTATACAATTGTAGGAACTGGCTAATGAAGTTATTACATTATTGGAAATTTGTACTTCTAGCTGCATTATGAAATACTGCATCTTGAAGCCATACAATGAAATAATCATACACCATAACAATATTACTTTGGCCACTGGCCTATCAGAGCTTTTGATGACCACATGCATTTGTTAACATCAGAATTAAACTTATAATGAACATATTATGACACACAAAATCAGAGTAAAATCAGAGTTCAAAAAATCCATGCAAAACTGACACAATGGTTGTCATCAGCAGGTTGATGTTAAATTAGAAATTGAACTGTAGATTTTGGTGATCATGGCTGGGGAGAGTTGAGCAGGGTTGGCAGGTAATGGATATGTTTTGGGAACATAAATAATAGTACTTGTACTAACTTCCTGCACCTATTGATGTTTCTCACATTTCCCAGTCACAAACTTTGCAGTCCATGATGTAACTAACAGTAATGTAGTCTCCAGACTCACGACACTGCTACCCCTCTAGTAGTGCACTGGGCTGTAGGTGGTATATAGATTAGGATCCATGTAGTAATGTGTTCCAGGTACCCCCGATGTACATAATAATCATGAAGCAAGAGTTGTAAGGCCTTCCGTTCAGTAAAACATGCCTTTACAGAAGTACAGAAACCGTATAAGCTTCATATATGTGAATGTTTCAGACCGTGTGCATTGAAAAGGAAGCTACGCTTGGTGGTACCTGCCTTAATGTTGGTTGCATACCTTCCAAAGCTTTATTAAACAATTCACACTACTATCACATGGCCCATTCTGAAGATTTCAAGAACAGAGGAATTGAAGGTAAACTTGTTGCATCTTAAAAATGTAACCTTAGGATCTAATTTGTGTCATGCTTTAAGTAACTAATTGACTTCCAATTTTAAGTTGCCCAGGTTTCATTGAATCTGGAGAAGTTCATGGGTGCCAAATTAGCAGCTGTAAAAGCCCTGACAGGAGGCATTGTGCATTTGTTTAAGCAGAATAAGGTAAATATCATGTCTTCATATTGCAGGTTATAAATTAATAATTATTTAGTTGTAGTTTATTAATATTGTCAGAAACTCAGACTGTATCATGTTGAATGATTGAATGATAATGAATAATGAACTGGAAGTAATGTGGAAGGAAGCAGTCATGGCCTAATATTAAGGTACTGTTGTATCACTTACCTGGAGGAACTGAGGAAGCCCACAAAAAACATAAGAGAAGTGAAGTGTGTTTTGAATATCATTGGAAGATTTAAGTTTAAATTTAGTGTGTCCAGCCAAAAGTGTCAGTAAAATAAAGTATTATGTGACTGTGGTCACTAAATTCATTCATTCATTTTATTTGGCATTCATAATTGCTACAACAGTAACACTTGAACAAGTCACATCATTAAATACATCATTCCTGAAATCCTTTTGCCCAAAGGCCTAAAGGGTTAGAATTTGTTAACAATAAATAATCACTCTTACCATTGTTAATCATGATGAAAATATTAACACACTATCAAAAAGATAAATAATAAAATTATGTACAATATATAATATATTATAAAAAATATATATATAAAAAATTATATATAATATATTATTAAAAAAGAATGAACCGATTTTATTACGCCATATTTTATTAAAGGAAAGTAATACAAAACTCCAGCCAAGTCAGGGTAGCGGTGGAACACAAACGTGATCTTGTACATATCCCCACAAGAAGAAATCACGCACGGTGAGGTCTGGGGATCTTGCAGGCCAAGCACAAAGAGCAAGGTCTTTGGCCCCCTTCCGACCCATCCATCACAGGGCACTTTTTCATTTAAAAAAGCCCAGACCATCAGGTGCCAATGGGGCGGTGCTCCAGCTTGTTAAAAAATGAAGTCATGCGAATCTGCTTGCAGTGAAGTGAAGAGCCAGTTTTGGAGCATATCGAGATAGGTTTGTCCTGTAACGGTGTTTCCTTCAAAGAAAAAGGGACCATAAACCTTGTCCTGAGATACAGCACAGAAGATGTTCACCTTAGGGGAATCTCTTTCATTCTCAACTGTTTCATGTGGGTGCTCTGTTCCCCAAATACGCACATTGTGACGATTGACTGCCGCTCAAGTGAAAAGTCGCTTCATCACTAAAAATTAAACGTGAAATGAAGGTTTCATCTTCCATCATCTCCAGCATTGAATCGCAAAATTCCATATGCTTCCCTTTGTTGTCATTGGTAAGTGCCTGAACGACCTGCAGTCTGTGTGGTTTCAAATGTAGACGTACTGTTAGAACATGCCAGACAGTGGATTGAGGGATCGCGAGCTCATGGCTAGCTTGATTTGTTGAATTCCGCGGGCTCCTCTCAAACACAGCACGGATTCTCGCCACTTGTTCCTCCAAGACTCGTGGTCCTGGATTTTTTCCTTTACACAGACACCCACTCTCTTGAAACTGTCGAAACCACCGTCGAATGTTCTAGGACAGGGCAGATTAATGCTGAATTACCTTCGAAAAGCATGCTGCACTGTGACAACCGAATTTGTTTTCACAAACACGAGAACTCAGAATGCCTTTTGCTGAGGACTCTCCATTCCAAGGGTAAACGAACAACTGAACGTTCCTGGAAGAACGACGTGACTTCAGTGCCCCTGTGGCAGCCGTTCACAACTTAGATAACTCCTCTTTCAAATGGTCACTGACTCATTTCATGATGATGCTTGAGAACTGAAGCAATGCGTCATGAAATCGGTTCATTCTTTTTGAATAACCCTGTTTAATACTATATTTTACTGACATTTAGGGCCAGCACCCTGTAATTATAATTTCTTCTGGCAAGCAAGTTGGTGTAAACTATGAAGCACAAAGGAAGTGTTTGTTAAAATTTGTGGCACCCTCGTCTTTTCAGTGGAGTTACTATAAGTAGTTACTATAGGATTCTGACGATGGTGTATAACACACTGATATGTTGGGATTTTGGACTTTATCCATCGTCCTGGTTTTTAAGATAACAAATAAAAACACGACGTTTCGGAAACTGGATTGAAACTGATTGAGGCTAGCTCTTTCTAACGGACCCAACTGAATAGGTGTTTTCCTTCACCTGAGGACGGAAACAGATCCAGTTTCCGAAACGTCGTGTTTTTATTTGTTATCTTAAAAACCAGGACGATGGATAAAGTCCAAAATCCCAACATATCAGGGAGTTACTATAGTTCAGAATGACTCGGTACTTTTATCTTCTGTTTCAATGACATTTATTCGGAGGATAGCAAATTACATCACTTCATAGATCATGTGTATGTAACTCAGCATTTAAATGTCTGTGCAATTGTATGTTGCTTTTTTAACAGGTTACACTTATAAAAGGCCATGGAAAGATCACAGGAGCCAACGAAGTTACAGCTTTGAAAGAAGATGGATCAAGTGAGGTGGTTAAAACAAAAAATATCGTAATTGCGACTGGATCAGAAGTTACTCCATTCCCAGGAATAGAGGTGAACGAGAGTGGATATTTTAAGTTCAGCATTTCAGTACTGTTTTCTCTCCCACCTAACCCATAATACAAGCAGTAAAAGTGAGCAAATGTTCATCAGTTTTGTTGCCAGATCCAAATAAAATTGTTTTACCGGTGACACCACTAGGGAATTGTATGTATTTGTCAGGAGCAGTGGGTGTGTCATGTGGGAAATCAGTTTGACCATCTGACCATCGTGCATAATGATCTTTTTTTACTTCTGACATAATAAATTCTGACACTGTAATGCCCAGTAGTTTGATATCTTCTTCCAGCATGACCTTTCATGTTAAATATATCATGGTAACATCATTATGTCTTTATAACTTAACAGAAAGTAATAGTACATTATAAGACAATGCATCAATATATCAGTTATGAAAATAATTTGTTGCACACCTTCTCTGCAGATCTTGCTCAGGATTCTGACAAATTATGAATTTATTTTCAGTGATCGTTTCACTTTCAACCCTTAAAACTGCATTCTTTATCTGTTTTATCGGTTGATTCTAATACATTTTCATATAGAAGAAATAACGTGTTTAATGGCTGGCATTGTGTAAATAACAGTTTGTAAATGCAAGTGCATGTTCGTATGATATGAACTGGCCAAAATATAAACTGACATAGTTCACACTATTTTCAAAAGATGGCAGAGGCTTATGGTTAATTTTGGAAATATATAGAATCCACACAGTAAGACCACAAATACAGAATCATGTAAGTTAGATTTTAAGGTTTCATGGTGAATAAATGTGCTAGAATCCTTTTGGGCAATCAGCCATGTAGTATTAAGTTAAAGACCAATGTTGGAGACAGAGAAGGTCTGTGAAACATTGGTTTTTAACTCAGCATTATGGTACAATAGGCCAGAAGTGGCCACAATACAAGGGACTTAGTCCCACCTCACTAGCATTAAAAAAACTCACCATTAACACAGCTGATCATCTAATAAGATTTTGGCACACAGCATCATGTATACTGTACTGCAGTAAAACTGAGCTCAACTGACAACTAGTAAAGTGATTAAGATAAGGGTAAAGTTATCCCTGAGTTTAGTTAATTAAGCACCATTGAATGAAGATATATGAGGTAGTGGAGGTATAGCTTCACCATGAACTTCAGCACTATATGGAGGTGAGTGGTCCTTCATTCCCCAGCCTCTTAACTCCAGGAAAATAGCCCATGGTACTCATTTTATAGGAGGCTGGGCTCCAGAGGCAGACTGGACACTGGAGACTGTATCTACTGAGCTTTTCCGTCTCCTTGTATTATTATTATCGTTTGTTTACTTGTCTGCATTAACGTGTTTTTCTTCCAGTGTTTGCCTATAATTTGTCTTTGAATTTATGTTGTGATTGTCCATAATGTAATCGCTTGTATCTACACTGTGCTGTGTCTGTAATTAGCCTTGTGGCTGTTGTCTCAGCACATAAATAATAAAGAATTGAATTGAATTATTATTACCTCATAGAAATTATTTCCAAGTTATGAAAGCATTTTACTGTCTCATAGGAGTTGGTGTTGTGGACTAAGGTCACTCGACAAAAGAAGAATTTAATTTGGAATGCCATCTGATTTTCTTCTGTCTGTCTTTCACAGATCGATGAGAAGACTGTAGTGTCATCTACTGGTGCACTTTCCTTGTCAGCTGTACCCAAGAAACTTGTTGTTATTGGGGCCGGTGTTATAGGTCTTGAATTGGTGAGATTGTTTGTGTGCTTTTTCTGTTTATAGTGTAATCATTTCCTCATTCTGTTACCTCATTACTGCCCATGTTGTCCTGTTGCTTTATAATCATCACACATATTAAGAGCATGGTTGAAGATTATCATATGTTGCAGGGCTCAGTGTGGGGCCGTTTGGGAGCAGAAGTTACAGCGGTTGAATTTCTGAATTCTATTGGTGGAATTGGTATTGATGGCGAAGTATCCAAGACTTTCCAGCGAACTCTAGGAAAGCAAGGAATAAAATTTAAGCTTGGCCACAAGGTGACAGGTGCACAGCAAGAAGGGGCTAACATCAGAGTAAGCATAGAAAATGCCAAAGACCCATCAAAGAAAGAGGAGGTGAGAAGACTGGAGTTATACCATTGTTTTAATTCCAGGATGTCTTGCATTGGTTCTGTGGTGTGAATGCTAAAGTGTATGTTTAATTAATGTTTCACTTAGACTGCATCCTCACAGCACCATCCAAGTACCTTAAGATCAAATTCATAAAGTGAAGAGTTAGTATACCTTGAGATTTGTACATTTTATACATGTTTCTGTTTGTGAAGCAGTTGAAGGGTCTAGTCATCATCTAGATCATGTTTGGAATTGTGACTGAATATATTTTGTTCTGTTCCAGTTGGACTGTGATGTGTTGCTGGTATGCGTGGGTCGACGACCATATACTATAAACCTCGGACTTGAAGAACTGGGCATTGAGCGTGATGAAAAAGGTCGCATTCCTGTGAATTCTCGATTCCAAACAGTAATTCCCAAGTATGCATTTTCTTTCCTTTTTGATACACAAATGTAACTAATCAGATATATCGCTTATTAATGTAAGCAACTAAATGAACATGTGCTCTGAATAGTGTCTATCCTCTTCTGTGTAATATCTAGATATGCTGGAAAGAGCTCATCTGGTGCTTGTGTTTTGGGCTTTTTTTTTTTCTTCCTCTTAGTATATTCTGTATGCCTCCTGGGTCTCTCTTAAGGCCATTGTTTGTGTTGCCTTCCCCATGAAACTATATTTGCCTGAATGGAAGACGCATTTTTCTTTACTATCAGAATTATGAAACAGAATGTTGTCTTGAATTTCAGTGTAGAGGATATATGCATGTTAATTATTTTTAAACGTTTTAATGGGTTGATTTTAAGCTGTAGTATATGCTAACATTCACACTGTCTCATGCTGTCAGTACAGCATGAGAAAGGCTGAAATGTGGCACAACTAGCTGTGACAAAATTGTTGAAAAAATCACCAAAAGCAGTAGGAGAGCAGGAGAAGCCATGAGCTACCCTGAGTTTGACTGAAGTGCCAACAGTGCTATGAACCAGAAGTTAACAATTTCCCACAAAAGAGATATCACAGTGACGGTAATTAAGTGGGAATGGTGAAGACAGTGAATTTGAGAAAGGAGAAACAGGCTTAAAAAGTGTAATGTTGTTAATATCTTTCACGTGTTTGTTTATAATAACTGTGAGATGACACAAAATCACTTTGTATATGCAGACATGTTCTATAGTGGGGGATCATTTTAGTTTTGGGGCATCATTCATTTTTGATCCTTCTTTTTCTCTCAGTATTTTCTGGGTTTGTCTGGGACTCCGTTTAGGTCTTCTGCTGGGTGTCTTGAGTGTCATATTTAGCGAGTCTGTAGTATTGATCTTGTTTCTTTCCCCTTAATATATTTAGAATACCCTCTTCTCAGGTTTGTCTGGATCTCACTTCCAAGAGTATCTTCCACTTTCTATCCTATGTCTCTTCTTCCAAGTGTGTTCTGAAAATCCTATTCTCAAATGTGTCTGTTTCTCCCTACGGGCTGTCTTCCTTGTCATATTGTTCCATCCTGTTTGCATGCCACAGACACCTGAGCTTTAAATGATAACACCATGTTCATGTTCTTGCAGTATCTATGCTATTGGAGACTGTATTCATGGACCAATGTTGGCTCACAAAGCAGAAGATGAGGGCATTGTTTGCATGGAAGGTATTGGTGGAGGTCCAGTGCACATTGACTATAATTGTGTCCCATCAGTTATCTACACGCACCCAGAGGTTGCCTGGGTAGGCCGCTCAGAGGAAGATCTGAAAACTGATGTAAGTCTGAAGCCTACCATATGCTATGTTCTCATTCAACAGGTTTCTGGAAACAGGTAAGTCAGCAGGAGTAAGACTGCTAGTGAATGGGACAAAACTGGCTGTTTTAAAGAATATACATGTAAAATTGGAACAAGGAGAATCATATGAATTTGCTTTTTTGGCATACGTGATTCTTGGTTATGGGTATATTGGCCTGTATGTGGTCTCAGCCAGTGTACGTGTGATGGCAACAATAATATGTGACACATTGGTGATGGAGGCACATTTGCTGCCAGTTGCTTTATGTTAACTTTCAACATTTTGAACACAAAACAATACAGCCATAGCGTAGAACAGTTAAATCCAGAAAGCCCATAAGCAATCTGCCAGGTATAAGTTTATGACTTACAGTTGCATAGTGTGTGGGCTCGTGCAGGATAGTGGTAGAACTGGTGGACTTTCCTGTATCTGGAGAGGTGTTGAAGGCTGTAGTATATGGTGTGGTTAAGAGAACCAAATTTACTGATAATGGAATTGAGAAGTTCAGTATTGCTGTCACTAGATAGTGAATTCAGTGTTCAGCTACTTTAGTCCAGATAACATCCTCACCATTTCTTTCCCTAAAATCTAAATACGGCCACCTCTGTGGTCTAGTGCTCACCATTCCTGGGTACAGATCCAGAGGTCCCAGGTCGATTCCTGGTGCTATCAGATTTTCTGAGAAGTAGTGGGTCTGGAGTGGGGTCCACTCAGCCTTGTGAGGATAATTGAGCTACTTGAATGGAAAAGTGGTGGCTCCGGTCTAGAAAACCAAGATTAATGGCCATGGGAATCCATTGTGCTGACAATGCGACACCCTGTGTTCGCTAAAGTTGGCACTAACTTCGCTGACAAGCGGCGCTCGCTTGGTCGATATAGTTCACTTGAGGACTAAAGGCCACAGAGAAAGAAATTTAAATACAGAGTTGTACGAGTATATACATCTGGCTGAACTTGTGAATGAACAGAAGCACTTACAGAGGTGTACAATCCTATGACAGGAAAAGTAAAATTATGCAATCATACTTATGAATGTCTTGAAGCTTTGCTATTTCAGATTACCATATTTTGCCATGTTATATAAAATTAGACCCTGTAGAAGGTCATGAATGAATGAGTATTTCCTGAATGTTGATAATTTATATTAGGTAGAATTAGTATGAATTATATCATTATTGTTCTTCTTGTTTTGTCATATCTGTCAAGATAAACTCCAGGAGGTTGCTGTTCTGTATTTAAATTTGTTTTTGATTTTTAGGGTGTTGAATACAAGGTTGGCAAATTCCCTTTTGCTGCAAACAGCAGAGCCAAGACCAACAATGATACCGATGGATTTGTGAAGGTCCTTGGAGATAAAGTGACTGACAGACTACTGGGTGTACACATCATTGGACCTGTAAGTTAATTTGACAGTAACACCTGTAAAGCTAGACTGCTGCATTTGTATCCCCACTCACATGTGAGAGAGCCAGCTTTTCGGATGGTGCATAAGTTTAATCCTTTTGTGGTCATTGATGCAGTAGTCTGTTATAATGTTGGATAGAACATCTCAGCTGGAAATATCATCTGATCCTGTTTGGAGGCAGTAGGGAATCAGTATAAGACACCTGTATAAGTACAGGAGGAGTCAGTGTAGTGATGGGCTATAGGCTGGAGAGCCGAGGTTCAGTTCCCGGCTGGGAAAAATTTTTTCTGTTCTCCCTAGCTTCCAGAGCAGCTCTGGGGTTTACCCAGCCTCCCATCCAGTGAGTACTGTGAGGGGGGGAGATTTCCCCAGGCAGAGCACTGGCGCATGGAGCTGACCACTCACAACCATCTGGTGCTGGGGTCAAGAATGGTGGAGCTATAACTCCATTCCCCCGTATGTCTGAATGGCATAGTGCTTAATTAATTAAGTACAGAGACAGTTTTACCTTTGCTTGTATTGAAGTACAGATAAAAGCATTAAATGAAGTTTTATCATGTGGAGTAGGCAGTAATATCTTTAAACACAAAGTTTGCACTCATATTTCTTACCTCATTTTTCAGTCGGCTGGTGAGCTGATAGCTGAAGCTGTGTTAGCCATGGAGTATGGTGCTTCGTGTGAAGACATTGCAAGGACCTGCCATGCACATCCAGTAAGCTGATTTATAGGTTTCATTGTTTAAGATTGAGCAGCAGTGTATAAAGCTATATTTTCACCATTTCTTGTGGATTGGTGTGAAACCTCTCACCCTAAGGATAGAACACATATTGAGGGTGTTGGGCCTTCACAATTTCTTAAAAAATATAAGGACCACTTCCAATAACTAGGACCCAGAGCATTGAAACAAAATACGTCATGTGAGAAATTGGTAATTTTTATTAAAGAAAGGACAACTGAAACATCCACATACAAATGATAACCCATCCTTTTCATGCTCAGGGAAAACCCAGTGCAGATATGGGTGAGTGATGTCAGAGTGTGCAAATAATAGAAATTGAAATGGAATACACAAAAAGGAAAAGAAAGTGATAGTTGCACAAAAGGGATAGAAGAACAGAAGCATATGTAGTGGAAATCTTAATGTGAAGGAGAAGAGAAATGACTGTAGGATGGACACTCAAAGTGAACAAGAATGCAGTAAGGGAGGAGGGGAGGAGATAAAGTTAAAAAATGAATTAAGGAAAGGATCAGTCATGCACAAATAATGACTTAGGAAAAGGAAAAAGAATTCTAGGCACAGTGATAACCTGGCACCTGAGGCGCATGCCATAGCTCAGGCAGTTAACTGCTAGCTTCCCACTGAGGTGGCCCATGTTTGAGCCCAGGTCAGGTCATATGGGAATTGTGGTGGACAAAGTGACACTGTGGCAGGTTTTCTCTGAGTACTTCGGTTTCCCCTGCCAGTTCTCATTCCACTGACTGCTCCACATTCATCATCTATAATCTGGGGCTGGTACAGTAGGACCATTAGTGGCCGACGTACTAAGTGGACTCAGTGTCACCTCACCCTAAGAAATTAAAAAAAAAAAAAACTAACACCTGTAGTTTGTATTTGAGGACACTGCTTTGGAAAGTACTTGGCCTAGGAGAGAGGAAGCAACAAGAGGGTTGAAAGGGTTATGTAATGAGCCTTATAGTCTGTACTCTTCTCTGGATGTAATCAGGATGATGAACTCATTAAGGATGGAATGATTGGGACATGTAACATAACTAGGAGCGATGAATAATGCATACAGTATTTCTGTCAGAAGACCTGAAATGAAGAGAGCAGTTGGAAGTCTAGAGTGCAGATGGGGATAGTATTCATTTTGGGCTTCAAGGAAATAGGGTGTGAGGGTGTAGACTTGTACATTGAAATACGATCCAGTGGCAGATTTTTGTAAACATGGAAGTGAACTTTGATGTTCCATAAATTGGTGGAAGATTTGAGATTTTGAATTTGAATGAAATTTTGGTTAAAGAACCTCAAGAAAATGAACTGATTAAGAAATTTAGTTATGTATTGGGAAGATAATTTTAAAAATTTGAAGTAGGTCTTAGAGTAATAAGGTATGAAGAGATGGCCTGGATTAAACTGGATCAGTACTGTACCCAGTTTTATGAAGTTGGTAATAAAACCTCAAGTTCAACATAACTGTAAAATTTTCTAAGAAGATTATAGAGATATGTGTGACATAAGTACTCATTTTTACTTGTGCCACATATATAAAGGTATGTAATAACCCGCAACAACAAAATGTAAAGGTATGTAATGTGTTAGCAGATTTTGGTGTTCTAGTTCCTGTTTCTCTTGGCTTTTTGTATCACTTGAATAAGGTTTTATTGTGTAAGAATAATTTTTCTTTTTTCCTCCCCCAGACGTGTTCAGAAGCATTCAGAGAAGCAAACGTTGCAGCAGCCTTCGGAAAGCCAATTAATTTTTAGGTTGATGTAAAGCAGCTGAGACTTCGATTCACAGCATTTCCCATTGGTTGATTTCACCGCCCCCTCTGTTCAGAGATGTGCTGCTTTTCTTTCATGAAGAGACAGTTTATGGTACTTACATCTCTTGAAGTAGTGGATTTCAATTGGGATGGACTTATGTGGTTATCAGTCACATTTTAGCCTGTACATAAGTTGAAGAAATTTGAACTTCCAGCATGTATTATAGCAGTCGTGGGTTTGTGGTATGTCATAGTAATGAACATGAAGTCTGTATAAATTTTAAACATGGATTATATTCTTGAAATGTAAAAATAATTTAGACCCCACAGAATCACACAAACAACTCATAACAATGTTATATGCTTCATTGAAAATCAGTTATGTGTCCTAACTTTTAGGACTGCGAAGATTCACTTTCATAATGGGCAGCCAAGACTGCCAAGGACTAAAGTACGTGGTTATGAGAAAGAATTTCAGGCTATAAAAAGAGTTATTGTACAGCTTCATACTTTTCCCCTGTCTCTGTAAATAGATAACAGATTTTATGAAAATGCTTGGCTCTTTCTTACCAAACTTGGCATATCTTGTGAGAATTTGTTTTCCACTGTTACCTACAGTTATGTGCTAGGAGAAACTACATCCATATTTAAGGATAATATTGGTGAAATAACAGGGAAGATCACAGAGTAAGGATGTTTGAGAACAGAGTTCTGAGGAGAATATTCAGATATAAGAGGGAAAAGTAACAGAAGAATTGTTGCTGGAGTCTGCCTGTACTGAAGGACAGGCTGCCCTGGAGTAGATACATGTCATATAATTTCAGCAACACACTTAATCAGTGTGTTAACCTTTGAAGCCCAAAGTTGACCTAAACAGTAATTAAAAATTAAGTTCATGTCTCAGAATACAGCATTTCCTTCAAAGCAACTTGTTATCGATCTGTAGAGAAATGTCTGTTTATTCTGAGCATTATATATGATTGCACAGTTCTGAATGTTAAAGCAGTGGGACTGTGCTTTGAAGGCTTAATGCTGTGATAATCAATATGCAGTTTGCATGTAGTCGCCCTTTTCCTTTGGTGCTGCCCTCAAAATAAGAAGTGTAATGTAGGATAAAGCATTTTCAAAGAGAACTTTTGTCTAGCAGCTGGCAATATCCACTTGTCATTTTTTATAAGCTAGTAGCAGGCTGCATCCACCTGCTCACACTGGTTCCTCGCTTGCAGATTTTTTTCCCTGAAGATGGAGGCGGTACATACCTCCGAAACGTCGGTTCACAAAAGATTTACACAGCGCCACATCCAAGAAGACGGTATTTCACTTGGGTTCCAAATTTTGATCCATTAGCTTCTGTTTTTGATTCTTATGGCTTTAAATACAGTAAACCCTCGTTATAATGGACATGGTCGTGACGTATATTGTATATAACGGACAAAATCTGGCTTTGAAAAATTGTGAATTTTTAGAGATGTTGAGGCACTAAGCAGATTTTGTAATCAGAAAACAATTTAAAATAAAAAAGAACTCCAATATAAAATCCTTCATGTAATTACATTGTGTTTCTATGTTTATTGTGTATATTGGCTATGCATAGTATGGTGTACTACATATCCCTTCAGTCAGTTGTAGCAGACATCGATTATAATGGAGATCTTGTCCCCCTCATTAGTCCGTTATAATGAGGGTTTATTGTACTTTTAAAAGTGAACAGTACAATATAACAAGAAGTTCTGATAAGAACTACTCGCCTACTTTCCTTTGATATGACAAAGACTGCATAGAAAACTACACCTGCAACATTTCTTCCATTGTTGCCTGTATTCATTGTCATGGGAAAGTGTTTATCAAGCTGTTCCATGTTAACAATAGGGGGATGCACATAGGGACACATGGATTTATGAAGTACTTCATTGAGATTTACATACCAAGTTTCATAAAAACTGGTTCAGACATTTTGAAAGTTGATGGGGGGGAGATACACAGCAAGGTGATCTCATAAATCTACTTTTATTTTTTCAAAATAAGGAAAGTAGGTTAAAAGTTAATGACTGTCCATTCTTGTCCGTTTCAGTTTTACGGTAGGTTAATCTAAATCCCTAATTCAATCACGTATCACTGCATTTCATGAAGCAGTGACTGCATGCTTTTGTTGGGTAAGGCTCGTGTAAGTTTTTATGGTAAAACTTTTTTTATCTAAAACAAATATATTTTTATTTTTTTAGACTGTTTAGGGGAGAAGTGCTTATGAGAAATGGTGTTTTTGAGGTACTAGAGCAAAGTTGTGGAGATTGCAGGTGCAAAGTTTCAGCATGTGTCTATTGAATTGACTCCCTGACATTGATGGTGCTCGAAATGCCTCAGTACCTGCTTGGAAGATAGAGATTGTTGTTGCTGTAGTAGGATTCTTTTCAGGTGGAATAAAAGCAATAGGACAAGAAAAGATTTTTAGCGGATCTTTGCAAATGGTTAAACCAGAACTCTCCCTACTCCTGGAAGTTCCTGCAAATGAAAAACTTTCATATTTATTGATATTATGGATATACAGACCTTAGTTGGGCCTTGGCCACTTTTTCAGTTTCTTGAGCCAATATATGGTAGGACTTCTTTGTCAGACGATCAGCCCTCAACATCAGTTTATAAAGAGTGAACTACATTGCCAATGAAATGTCTGTAAAATAACAGCTTTTGAGAGGAAACTTAGATCTTGGGAACTGCAACTGCGATAAAACTACACATCTGTCACTTCTGAGGACAGAAAAGGTCCAATGACGCTAAGAAATGTGTAGAAGAAATTCAGCTTCATCAGCAAGACTTCAACTGCTGTTTCCAAGAAATATGGAAGTACAAGAGTGAGGCCACATTCAAGTTACGTGTATTTTCACAATGTCGTATTAAAATTATTGGGCCCAATTTCAGATGGAGGCGGTAGATTTGCAGTGTGATACAGAGACATGTATATGTCAATAAGTTCGACTTGAATTTTTCGAAATCTCTTTGCATTCTGATAGACTTGCAGTGTTTTTCTTTTCCTTGGGGTGGGGTGAGATTGAGTCTAATTGATATGTTGGCCACTGTTTGGCCTATGATGGGGGAAACCCAAGTACTCTAAGAAAACCTTCCCCATTGCCACTTTATTCATCACAAATCCCACATGACCTGACCTAGGCAGCCGTGGCGAGAATCCAGCGACAAACCACCTGCGCTATGTCACAGCCCTTGTAGTGCTTAGTAAGCTTGCGAGGTGAGTGGCAAGCCTTTTTGAAAACGGAACAATTCTTTTAAAGATTAAAGTGGTCAAGAATGAACCTTGAAAGTGACTTGATGATGACAGATCAGGAGGCAGCTTCCAGTCTGCCTCCTCTCACATGCGTACGGCTATTGAGAACTTTTACGCATCGTAGAATTTGATGTTCTCACACCGGTGCTCATGAAGAGTACTGTCTTCTGGGATATGACGCTCTGTAGTCCGTTGAAAGTCAGCCGACGTTTCGTAAGAACATATCACCTCCAACCCCAGGGTCGAAGAATAAGCCAAGCAAGATACCAGCATGGCTCTACTTGCCACCTGTTTTCACCCTGGTATCTGGCGTGGCTTATTTTTTGGCCCTGAAGATGGAGGCAATATCTTTCTACGAAACGTCGGCTGACTTTCAACGGACTACACAACGTTACATCCCAAAGATAGTACTCTTTATTGAGAATTTGGTGGCAAAGCAACTGTGGAAAGATTTTCATTTGAAATTTTTCTGTCATTGAAGGTCCCCATACGGTGTCCTTTGGCTCATAAAGGTTAATAATGGAACTGTAAATACTAAAGAAATATATCTGTATTTTTCATTACGTTTATGCTAATGAATTTTATCGATTTAGAGCTAATGTAAGATTTTGTTGAAAAATTTTTACTTTTATTGTTGTCACAGCAATGTCCCCAACACGTTTTGGAGGTTTTGAAGTTTGTCTTCGAGCAAAAGGGATTGTTTATTACCTGTATGCAGGGATTAATCATTCGGAAAATTAAACTACGAAAAAAAAAAACGAATTCACAAGTTTTACGATGAAATGCCCCAATTATAGAGTCACTTATTCCTTGCACGAAGTTCTCAGTAACTGACAAACAGAAATTCTGAGGAAGGTATAAAATATTCATCATTGAATTTATTTTCAACTATATCCTTGACAATGCGGGCCATGTTGTGAGATCCACCAGACGTCAGGCTGGTTGCCACTGATCTAATAGAGCTTCCGCCTCCGAGAAAGAGAATACTTTGACCCCCGTCCCACCTGTCCTTGTGAGAGGACGCCCTCACTTCCCACAATCAAATTACACACCGTCTGACGTTTATGAATAGCTATAGCAATTTCAGTAACACGGGAGCTAATTCAGGCCATAAGCGAACTTAAACGGTGGAAGGAGACGTTGAGACTTATTTTTAAATCGGAGGTAATTTTAACGAAGAATAATGCGGCGTATTCCAATCAACACGCGCGTTAATTTTCTGCAACGGTCTACCTACGTGTGGCTCCGTACGTGATTTTCATTACGCAAAGACAGATTTACTGTAACAGTCACTGTGGGTGGTGTGTTCATTGGGGGGGGGGAGTCCTCACACCCTCGTTACAGTTTTCCTTTTGATTAGGGTGTGTGTGCCATATGTCTTCTAACACTGGATTAAGTTAGATTCTCCATGTTCTTTTTAATTATTAGTTTTAGTTGCAGTACAGTTCACAGTGTAATTACGTATGCTATTTGATCTGTTTGCCGGTCACGGTAGCCGAGCGGTCTAAGGCATTTACTGTCTTCGCTCACTTGGAAACCGGGATCGTGGGTTCGAATCCCACTCAGGACATGGATGTTCAGTGTTTGTGTACAGGTAGAGGCCTTGCGACGAGCTGATCACCCGCCCAAGGAGTCCTACCGAATGTGTAAGATCTAGAAAAACCGAAGTGAACGGAGAAGTTCATGGAGGTAGGCCTAGGCCCACCGGGGCTGTAGTGCCAAGGAAAAAAAAAATGATCTGTTTACTCGTACAATTATGGCTTAATGTTCTAATTTTGTTTCATATGCGGAAATAATCGTTTGGTCCCACAATATAAGTAGGTACACAGAGTGCTTACAAAGTATTTAGAGCTTCAATTTTGGGATATGAACCGTTGAATGTGATTATTTAAGGCGTCTTCAGGTTACAAGGGAAAATACGGTAGGAAATAAGACATTGTGGGAAGAACTGGATATTATGCAGTGAAAACAAGTCTAGATAACGGAGAACTGAGGTGGTGTGGCCATGTTGAGCGACTAAGATTACGAAAACGTGTTACATCTGGTGACTACAAGGAAGACGAAGCGAGAGGTCTGATGTATATGCAGGCGAAATATATATTAAATTTATTATGGCAGAGATTTGAAGGTGGAGGCTGTGATAACAGATTACTGAGAAAATTTAGGACGGTAGACACGGACGGATAATGCCAAGAAAAAGTAGAAGATATTTGGACATATTGGCATAGCTCAGCCGGTAAAGCGACTGGCTACGGGCTGGAAAACGGAGGAGTCGGAGTTCGAGTCCCGTTGGGGCAAGAACTTTCGCTTCTCCACGTCGTCCAGACCAGCTATAGGGTCCATCCAACTTCCTATACAATGGGTACCGGGGGCTCTTTCCTCGGGGGTAAAGCGGCTGGGGCGTGAAGCTGACCACTCACCTCCAACTAGTGCCGAGGTCAGGAAAACGTAGAGCTATACAGCCACTCATTTCTGTTGGAGGCTGAGTTGACCCCAGGGCCATAGTGCGGCTGGAAGGATTAGGTCAACTGAAAGAAATCCAGTGACTCATCGGGATTTGTTCCCGCGACCTTCCGCCTTATAGCATAGTGCCTCAACCAACTACGCTACCGCGTGCCCCGAGATAAATATAGTAGACGTGGAATTTATCAAATGAAGTGCCTAGATTGCCCATTAAAGTACGTCGGACAAACAGGAGGAACATTCAAAAGCAGATACAAAGAACACATCCATGACAGAAAGCAACAGTAGTAACTCCGGATATTCAAGTCACATATTGAACACGAGACACACATACGTCGCACTAACAGATACTGTGGAAATTATAACAAAGGGGAGGAAAGGAAAATATTTGAATACATTTGAGAAATATATTTACAAAACCAGTAAAGAAAATCTACATATGAAGGACACTAATATCGACATACACAATCCTACATTGGAAATATTATACAAAATTACACAACATAACACTATACCCTCCCACACTCCTCACAACCAGGGCATATAAATACGGGAAGAAACACATCGCATCATCTGCACTACTGAAGACAACACACACGCTCCTAGAGGGAACAACACACAAGCAAGTGGCATATAAAGACTGTAGACATAGCAAAACAACGGGCTAACGAACAAAAACAAGCTGCAGAAACAAACATTCTGGAATATCACATAGTTCTAAACAAGTGTGGAATAGGATTTTACGAAAGATTTTAATAGATCTTAAGTAATTATTTATGTTAATTTAAGTGGACTGCAACTAGCGATTTTAGCGCGCGTCAAAGCAGTGTAGCAATTTGGACGCATTGAAACACCTGAAGATGGCCATGTATGGCCGAAACATGTTGTGTTAAGTGTTAAATAGTGAATATTTGTTGTTGCATTATTGACGGACTGCGATACATAGACATTTAGCTCCATATATTCCTCTCGGTAGCGTTTCCTGTTCTGCGGTGGCTGGGGTTATAGGGAGTAAACTTGTAACACTGGAGTGTCCGCTGTTGCCTATATTTGTTTACACTAACAACATATATATTTCCTCTTGAGCTAGGTTCTTTTTTTTGGGGGGGGGGGTGAGACTGCGTCCACTTGGTACGTCAGCCACTCTTTGGCCTATTGTACCAGCCCCGAATGAGAGATGATGAATGTGGAGCAGTCGGTGGCATGAGAATTGGCAGGGGAAACCGAAGTACTCGGAGAAAGCGTGCCCCAGTGCCACTTTGTCCTCCACGAATCCCCCATGACCTGTCCTGGGCTCGAACACGGACCGCCGGTAACTAACAACCTGAGCTATGGAATAGCCTTGTGGTTGAACTAAGTTACATAATTCCATATGTATCCAGCCTTGGATCGGTGCGCCATAAGCATCTCTCTGGCCGTCAGCAACACGACGTGGATTCACTTGCTTTGGTTATGGAGCAGTGAGACGATGAGTGGTTCAGTCCATGTCCCATGAGCCTCTTGGTGAGGCTTCCTTCGGCGGGGCAATAGTTACGGCTTTGGTAGGCTATCGTGCATAGCCTACCCTAGCAACTGGTAAAACTTTTTTATATTAGACTGCCCTTAGTCACCTACCTAAGGATTATATATTTTTTTAATTAATGACATACTTACAATCTACTGTCGATAATATGGAGTAATAAGTAAATTTGTTGT